ACGACTGCAGTACCTCACCTCAGCTGCCAATAAAACATACATCAAGCTCTGTGTTGTAATACATGGCTATAATACATGGATGTGTTCTCTGCATAGAACAAATGGGATTTGTAATTCCCTCAAACTGGAGGAATATACGTTATTGTGGCACAGTCCTTAGTCCCTTGTGGTTAAGGTCAGTGCATCTGCTTTGTTTTTTTTCAGCTGTTGTGGCACTTTTAGGTCACGTCTGTGTCATTTCACGTGTTCATACATGAATAGGTTTAGTGTATGAGCAGCTTAGCATGAAGAGTGGGCAGATATCAGCACTTAGCTCAGCATTAAACTCAGGGGAAATACAACCCTCTCAGGAGGCTGTTTAACTGTTTACATGCTGCAGGGGGTTTGATTAGTTGCACTAGTGTTTGGTGATCTGATGAAGATCTAATTTACTGTCTTTTCCTGCTTACTCAGGCTGCCTCTGGGCTTAAGGGGCTTACGTTTATTATCCCAGCATGCATTGAAGAAAGGTTCATACAACAGAGACATCTTTCAGGAGTCTTTTTGAAAGAAGATATGTATGTTGGAGGCACATTTTTAAAAATTAGATAATGGCTCATTTGCATATGTAAACATGCTATTTCAGAAAACTTGTAATACAAAAAACAATTGTCTTAAAGTGGACCTATCATGCTATATTTGAATAATATAGTGTAGGACCATATCTATATAAGGCATATTTACACTTTTTTTTTTCAAAATACCAAACAGATCATGCATTTTAGCCATGCCTCATTTTGCTCAATTTGCACTTTTTTAGCTCTGTTTTTGCAAGGGCAGATTCAGTGAGAACAGCACCACCTACAGGCCTGGCATATGTACTACAGCGTCTCCAGCGCTTTCGAACGGCAATGGCCGTGGCTGTCTCCTCCTGATTGGTGGAGTTGGCCCAATAGCCGTAGCGCCACCGTCCTGACGTCAGGACAGTGTTCAAATCTGGATCAGTTTTTATCAGATCCGTTGCAGCCCCTTTTTTAGAGATTTGGGTATGGAGGAAAATAGAGAGGGTTGTGTTTTCTGACACTTGGTGAGTTCCCTGGAACACCGGGGACACATATTCATGTATAAAAGACGTACAAAAGTGCATTTTGCATGATAGGTCCCTTTTAAGTTAAAAAAAGTACCCTATTCACCTGTAGTGTCTCGCCTTAACTTAAATATTCTGAAGTTTGAACGTCTATGTCTTATACTGATTTAGTCGGAAATAAAAGGCAAAGTATCAATCTTCTAGGCATGAAACTACATTTTTGAGGACAATAGTGTGAATATACGTGCACACTTCTCTTGCACATGGTTTTAATACAGGAGTAAAGCTTTTCACAACTAACTTTCCGCAGAGAACAACGCTATCATTTCATAAAAGTGCCCCTCTTTACTCGGGGGAATAACGTAAACATGCACATGCGAAAGATACATGTGAAAAGGCCTACATAAATACTAGTGTGACGATATCCTTGCCACAATGTCGTTTGAAAGAGGTACAATCACACAGTAAATGCGTACAAAGATAGCCTTTATCAATCATCTACTTCATGACATTCATGGTGTCTTTATACAGATGCACATGTTGATTAAAGACATGATAGTCAACATCATATCCGTCCACGTTAAATACGAAATCACTCAATAAGCAAACATCTTATGATACACTGAGACTGAGTAACATGGTATGTTTTAACACTTTCCTTAAGGCTTACTGTATTGGATCATAATGTTTCATTCAAGCATGGCAGCTATAAAGAAACGTTTCTGTCTCGCACATTTAGGCATTTTGCTGTTTTGCTTGAGAGGGATTTCTTTAAATATAGTACCGGGAAAAAATAATTACTTAAAATAAAAGAACTTCAATTTTATACATGCAACACAAAATATCAAGGAGAACAAATTATTTAAAATAAATATATCTGAGACTAGATAGAACATATCTAGTTTCACGCCTTACCTTTAAATCCTCCTGAACATATGTATAAAATAAATGTGTCCTAAAATGTCAAATTCATTTATAAAGTAAGACGTAGCTCCTAAATTAAAGATAGTATAAACCAAACAAACTATGGCACAATTGTGTTTACCAAATGTCTAACAAGAGGGAGTTCTGTTTCACACATAATGAACAAGTTATAATCAGTGATGTGAATATAATGCCTTGATCTGTATGCCTTAAGCAAAGTGTCACCAGATAACTTTGTCTTGTGGCAACGATGAAAAAACAACATATCAGCAAACGAAGCACGCTGCACAAAGCAAGTGTTTCCTCTTTCTTCTTATCACCTCTCAGCAATATTTACACAAGATTCAACAAGAAATTGACAGCCATTTATCAACATCAATAAAGAAGGCAAACATTGAGAATAACATGCAAACCGCTGCATGAATAGAAGCAACATTATCCTCAGTCTCAAGCAGTTCACTATTTATTTTTAAGATCCTGTTTCGTCCAATACGTACTGTAAGTAGGTGGCAATGGTTTGGAAACCCAACATCATTGGAGGAAGTGATCCTTCACTTTCTTCCCAATGAAACATCCGTCCTGCTCAAATTGTACATCACAAATGTGTAAAAATAAACATCCGGCCCTCCAAACCAAGACTCGAGTGACAAATAATATATCAGTGATCTCAGCTTTCTGGTGGACACTCACATTTCCCTTTTGATGACATGTCATCTTCAGTCTGAGCACACACGTAGCTTCATTAAAACAGATTAGCACAGTATGAAAACCATCAAAGCACAGATAAAGGGTTTCGGGCATGCACAGCACTTTTCCATTAAAGCATATCATTAAATGTACATTAACAATTATGCAGTTTGTCAAAACAGCGTGGGTTCTGAAACAGTACAAAAACAACCCTGTTTACCAGTGTTTTCTCCAGAAGCTGACCTGGGTCGAAATGCATTTGTGATTCATTCTTTACAGGGATTTAAATCAGCTTTAGTTATCAGATGGGTGGATTTGGTAAATATGGACCATAAAAAACGTTACTAGGGTTAGGGTTAAGATACAAGTTGTCACTTTTTCCTCTGATAAATAATACTGTTGCTGGTTGAAAGAACTGACCTGTAAATAGCATGCTGAGAAACCACTGGCTATTTTTACCAAACACAAGTAGCTAGTTTCTTTAACTCCTTTTTAGCATTTGGTTGAGTAAGTTGAGTTGGGTGGACCTAAAGACACGTGTAAGTTCTCTGAAGTCCTTGTACTTTGACCATTTGTCACTTGAAATTGTGCTGTTTTACAGGAATTTGATGAAAGACTTATGCTATCAATGGGAGAACAGTTCCTTTACTTAATGTATGTGGCTTGCAAATTAAAGGACAATATCTCAAATATTAATTTGGGTTAATTTACGCTAACATTCAAAACAGTACTTCCAAGATTTTCCAAGCCGAAATCAACCACACATTGGCACTAACTCAATCTAAAGTCTGCTTACCATGACAATAACAATGGCACAGCTCCTTTTACATATATTTCTGAATAAATATGTAACTGATGCAAAGAGGTACACGAGTCAAATTGCCTATATTACCTTCAACACTCATATGCAAAATTCCAGGAACAACGGACTTAACAAGAGTTTGCAACGATTGCCAACAAGACTCCGTTCTTTCTTGGCTCACATCAACTACTCACACTAAAAACACTGATTAGAAATGGGTCTTTCTTGGCCGCAAACACATGAGTAACCTCATATGATGGTTTGGAAATACTTACGGTCCACTTAAGATACAGTTTGAAGGCTTATACTTGTCACGCTAAAACCAAAATCTGCCATGAACCGATGAGGATGCCCCAACCCTTTGGTTTTCACCTCGACTTTACGCTTAAATCAATTTGTGAAACTGGCCAACCTGAAGACTGTGTTTGATTTGAGTTTTTCTTCTTTTAAGGATCCCTTGGGTTTACACATTACGTAACTGAATAACTGAATTTTAATATAGCAGATATCATTTCCAGGTCATTTACGTTAACGTTCATAAGAGTATTCCCAGAGTATTTTCCTTTTTGGCACAAACCCAATCGAAAGTCTGCTTACAATGACGATATAAATGGCACTGATTCTCTTACATATATTTCTGAATAAATATGTAACTGATGCAAATACAAGTACACAAGTCAAATTGCCTACATGACCTACATCACTCATAAAGACCTTAAAGACCCTTTCTTTCTAAGCTCTCATTGACAACGCAACATTAAAACACTGATTAGAAATGGTCTTTCTTGGCAGCAAACACAAGGATACCCTCATATGATGGTTTAGAAATGCTTTCCGTCCACTTAGGGTACATTTTGAAGGCTCACAGAGTGAATCTAAGACCAACATTTGCGATAAAACGACGAGCATGCCACCACTTTGACTTCATACTAAAAATCAACCTGTTAAACCATTCGACCCAGGTCAACCTGAGGACTGTGTTTGATTTTATTTTTATTTTTTTTTTAAAAGGTCACCTATTATGCAAAATCCTCTTCTTCATGTCTCTTCTACATCAACATGTGTCCCCTCTGTGTGAAGAGACTCTGAAAGTTTCAGGAACAAAGATTCTCTCTCTTTTTGTCCTGATCCATTTATATAAAAACCTGTCTGAAAATGAGTTGATCAAATTTTGGCCACTTTATGATGTCATAGCGATTTTTTGGCTTGTGTAACCATTAGCCAATCAGCAACCAAGGTAACCCCCCCCAACTTATCACCTGAATCTCCTCCTAGAGCACCATTGAGTTATTTTTAACCAAATATCTCTGAGAGGCGTGGAGAGTGGCTCCTTATTTTCATCTAAAGTAACAGACACAGAATCAGCACTTTGGAAACAGGGCTGAAACAGAGGGGATTATGGGATGCTGCAATGATCTGTTTGGTGTTTGGAGCCAAACACTTCAGAGACATGTTTTGTATATATCTGAGACCTATAATATATTGATGAAAAACAGTATAATAGGGGACCTTTAATGGTCTTTAGAGCACGGATGTCTCAGACTGCAGGATGGACTGGGTTCTGGAGTTTCTGTGAGGTTGCACCATGTGCTCTGAACCGTTCCTGGAGGCGAAGGTGTTGCTGAAGTGATCTCTGTTCAGACGGCAGTTCAGACACATACTCCGCCACTTCCTCTTTAGCTCACCCTGCACCTGCAAGGGAGACAACAAAAAACAACATGTTCTAAACTAAATAAAGACTGATCCGATAACAATTCCTCACAGGATATATATTATACTTTGAATCCAAAGCTACTGTGCACACTTTTTTTGTATGTATATAGTACATTATCTTTTTGTTTCTGTCCCTTTAGTAGATTGGTTTACAAGAGAGTATTCTAATGAATCTGTATATTTTATAGTGTGTCGAAAATCTTCTGAATATATGTATTTTCTACTGAGAATATGTATATTTAGTTTTTACATTTTAATGTTTATTTTTATTTTATGCTATTTTGAAGAAGTTTGTAATTCTTGTACATTTATTGACAAAATGCTGCTGTGACTTGGGATGAATAAAGTATGGTACTTCTCTTCTCGTGTATCCACAAATGTGCTGGAAATGGTCCCTACAGTAGGTTCAATATCATACACTGTGTTAACTAAGAAGGATCTTGTAAATTAAATATATAGAAATGGAAAAAAGTAGACATGAGAATTAGAGATTTAGGTCATATTACGGTCTCTTACAATAAATATTGGTTCATTTCTTTTATATTTCTGGTACGTTTGGAGTAAAAGCAAGAGTTATTAAGCATGGGTTATTTTTTATGTTTTGCGTTTTACAGTATATTATTTTTCTAATAATAGTACTTTCATATTTTTTTATTATAAGTTCCTACTAGATTTTACCTGATGAGGTCTGGGAATCAAACGGAATATTTATCTGATTTTTTCAGGTTTATTAACTAGCATACAAAGTTCACCTTGCATGTTTACAACAAACAAGGTGCTGCAGAATGAAGATACGCAGCCACCTTTAAACAAATGTCACTCATCTATTTTCAGCCCTTTAATCATACAAGTTTTAATTGAAAAAAAAACCATTACCTCAACCTTTGTCTCCAGAAAAACATCGACCAAATTGAAAATAAACCATGTATTTTAAACAGGCTTGTTATCAGCGGAGTGCAGACACCTTCATGGGAATACTTAAGAAAGACCTGTATTATTGTTTTGCTTCTCTTAAATTAAACACTTAAATGTTTTATGGAAATAGATGTTTTTTTGGTGCCACACACAGAATTACTTTATTTTATATAATAAAAGCTTACCTCACTGTTTAGGAAACAGTACAGAATGGCCACCACCAGACCCTGAGGAGAACAACACAGTCATGTTTAAAACGTTAATAAAACATGATAAGTTATGTAGTAATTCAATATTGAAATCTAAAATGTACAAGAGGATGTGTATGCTTGTAGATGTGTCTGTAAAAAGGTAAGAGATACATTGAGATAAAAGTGTTTTTTGCACTGCAATTCTTTAATGAAGTCTTATAATTAACAGGCACATGAGCACTTCCATTCATTAGAGAGGTGTTTATTATAATAACATGTAGTGATGGGATATACAAATATGTAATATATCACCTGAAAGGATCCGAGTGCCAGGTCGAAGAATATTTTATAATCCTCTGCGATGGATCCGCCGAGAGAAACGAAGACAACGTAGTGGATGCCAAACAGAGGGATCAGCAGCAGGGTGGATTTAGCCAATCTCCTGAGAGAAAATAGTTCTTTAAAAACATTATTCATCTGAAACAGATGTTATTTTGTTTCACACTGTTATATGAGATGTTGTTGATTTAAAGGGGCCATATTCTGCTGATGTTCAGCTTCATATCAGTATGTAGTGTCTCTACTTTAAAGAGTCCTCTCCTGCTGATGTTCAGGTGTATATCAGTATGTAGTGTCTCTACTTTAAAGAGTCCTCTCCTGCTGATGTTCAGGTGTATATCAGTATGTAGTGTCTCTACTTTAAAGAATCCTCTCCTGCTGATGTTCAGGTGTATATCAGTATGTAGTGTCTCTACTTTAAAGATCCTCTCCTGCTGATGTTCAGGTGTATATCAGTATGTAGTGTCTCTACTTTAAAGAGTCCTCTCCTGCTGATGTTCAGGTGTATATCAGTATGTAGTGTCTCTACTTTAAAGAGTCCTCTCCTGCTGATGTTCAGGTGTATATCAGTATGTAGTGTCTCTACTTTAAAGAGTCCTCTCCTGCTGATGTTCAGGTGTATATCAGTATGTAGCATCTCTACTTTAAAGAGTCCTCTCCTGCTGATGTTCATGTGTATATCAGTATGTAGTGTCTCTACTTTAAAGAGTCCTCTCCTGCTGATGTTCAGGTGTATATCAGTATGTAGTGTCTCTACTTAAAGAGTCCTCTCCTGCTGATGTTCAGGTGTATATCAGTATGTAGTGTCTCTACTTTAAAGAGTCCTCTCCTGCTGATGTTCAGGTGTATATCAGTATGTAGTGTCTCTTCTTTAAAGAGTCCTCTCCTGCTGATGTTCAGGTGTATATCAGTATGTAGTGTCTCTACTTTAAAGAGTCCTCTCCTGCTGATGTTCAGGTGTATATCAGTATGTAGTGTCTCTACTTTAAAGAGTCCTCTCCTGCTGATGTTCAGGTGTATATCAGTATGTAGTGTCTCTACTTTAAAGAGTCCTCTCCTGCTGATGTTCAGGTGTATATCAGTATGTAGTGTCTCTACTTTAAAGAGTCCTCTCCTGCTGATGTTCAGGTGTATATCAGTATGTAGTGTCTCTACTTTAAAGAGTCCTCTCCTGCTGATGTTCAGGTGTATATCAGTATGTAGTGTCTCTACTGGGACATGTCTCCATGCTTTAATGTTCAAAAAGCTCTTTATTTTTCTCATACTGCCTGTGCTGCAGCACCTCTTTTCACCCTCTGTCTGAAACCAGAGCACAGTCTGCTCTGATTGGATAGCTGGCCGGCTCTGTTGTGATTGGTCAACCGCTTAGAGATGTCCCGCCCCACGTACAATGTGTTGGAGCGCTAGCCAATAGAGGCCCAAGTGTTACATACTGATTTTCTGGAAGTAATCAAAGGAGGCGTTTCAGCCTTGCAGCTCATTAGCATGAACTCAAATCTATATAACTCACTACAGGAAAGAGAAAACCCCAAAAAGCAGAATAGGGCCTCTTTAAACAGAAGCAAGGCTAATTCTAGTCTCGTTTTTTCTGCACAATTTGAACGCTGGACGGTGTGAATGGAGAAAAATATGGACCCTGTCTTGGTTACTAGGCCCAAAATCTAAAATCTGTCTAAATGAAGGAAATGAAACCATCTGTAAAGTGTAAACTTCTTCGCACCCCTTTTCGGCTGTGTAATTAAGAAGATCATTTGTTGATATATAATTTGTAAGTCAGTTATATTTTTGTTTATCAATGTGACACTGCTTAAAGGTAAGATACACTTTTTGTTATATTCCATGGAATGCTCTTAACATCCCGATAGCAATGAATATCTTAAGTGCTTTGACAAAAAATCCATAAAAAAATGTCATCTGTGGAAACTGTAATACTGTAAAAAGCACGACCAATCATTTTAGCCGGCCCGGCTAAAATAACTGGATGGCCTACCTGCCTGTCAGCCTTCCATCTGTGCACAAACTTATCTCGTGCCCTCATTGGTCATGTGCACGTTCGTGTGTGTTGGAGGAGGGGCTCTATAAGGAAGTGGCAGATTTTCTCCGGTTGTGTATTTTCAAATTCTAGCGATCTCGAGCCGGTTTCTCAAACTTACCTACCCTACCTTTAAGTTTGTATAGTATAATAATTCTCATGTTTCATTTCATTATTAATATAATTTTTTCTATTATTGTTTTACACATTCGAAATAAATCAAATCAAATCCAAAATATCTGCAGGGCTTTTTGAAAGTATAAACTGGCTTAAACAACTACTTCTGTAGCATTGCACCACCCCAACAACTCCAGCGTACATTGAGACGGTGAAATCCTTCCTCTCAGTTTGTCATCTCTGCTCAGGACTGCACTAAACTCCACTGCTCTGACACCATGTCTTCACCTACAGTAACGGGAGATTCTGCAGTGGCTTATCCAGGCTTTTAATCGCCTCTGACTCTCTGATCTCCGTGACCGCGGGATACGAGAGTACCTGACAGCTCAGCACAGCTCACATTCCCCTGCAGGGTACAATTGTGTGTCTGACTGTGCAAAGACCCTGAATTGTGCAAGAATTTCCCACTACAGAGGCACTTCCCCCACTCGGCATTTCATGAAACGCCGTCTATTTGAATAACCGTTATCTACACTGTTATGTTTCCGGACAGCAGAGGGGATAAAAATGTTCTGGGTGTCTCAGATTATCTGCTTTTAAAAACACATTTTAGCTGACTTTCCTCCACAGTAGCAGGTGTAGCCTCTTGTGAGATACCTGTATTGTGATTGGTCGTTTCCGCCCACGTCAGGACACCTCAGCTTCTGGACCAAGATCCGAATAATGCTGATGAACAGGATAAAGTTCACCTTGGAGACAGGGAGAAAGGAAATTACATCAGAGCAAATGAAGAGAGTCAGAAAACCCCCATAGGAGGGATTTTATTGTGCAGTGTTGGACAGTTTTCCACCCACTGAAGCAATGAATGAACAACACAAATAAAAGGAAGAGACTCAAACAGCAAGTCAGTGATACATCCAGAAAAAAAGAGGATTGGAGGACTTTTGGTGCATCGTTGGTTCATTTAAAGCATGACAAGTGAAAACAGTTAAGTCTTTGGGTAATCACTGTATACGACTTTTGGGGCCTTTTTGGGTGAATTTGTTTCGCCCTTATGATGCTTTTTGAGCTCTTGGACGATTGTTCAATAATTTCTTAGCAATTAGCCTTATCAAGCATGATTTATTCACATGCACAATGAGTGTGCTTGGACATTTGAAAAAGATATGAAGAGACCTGAGATTACTTTGGCAAACACGTTGGTTTTTCTTCATCTTCAAAAACGTTTTTATTCAAGTTGAAGTGGAACAAATAAAAAAGAAATGCCAATTACAAAGCATAAAATCTCACCATGCTGTTACTTGTGAAACAAAAGGAATATACATATTTTTTTCATCTGATTCCTTAAATCAACTTGGTATGGTAGGACAAATAGCTCTTCAAAGATATAGAAGAAATGTCTCCTTCATGTCTTGTACACAAATCATCAACCATAGGCCTGCTTCTGTTTCTCAAATCGAGGGCTGATTATCAAGAGTTTTCAACGCAATGCTATATTTGAAAGCTTGACATTGCGTATCAACAGTAACTCATGGGGAGGGGTTGGCATCTGTATCCTTTTATTAATATAGTGCTTTTTAAATTGGCAAGCATGTAAAATCCCTCCAGACAAACAGAAGGAAAACCGAACTCACCATAATGGATAAACCGATTGGTCCGTTGATCACCCAGTTGGGTACGGGGTTGTCATTCCTCTCCCAGCATCTGAGGGCAACATTAATAACCATATTGCACTTAATATAGTATATAAACAATATATTATAAAGCACAACAGCAACAGAAAAGTGTGGAAAGTTACAAGCAGAGGGAGGCTTCAAACTTCTGGATGAATTTCCAGCAGACCTCAAAGTTTGATGAAGAAAATGAGATAGCCTCAAGCTGTTTTTTCTTGTAATCTTTCATGTTTGTAAAGTATGTCTCATGGCATTTAGGGCAAGTCATAAATCCATTCATCCGTCTTTGGCCACTAATCCAGGGCTGCAGTAGAGGAAGGCTAATAAGCAAGGTGGACCAGACATGATTTTCTTCTGCAAAATCCTCCAGCTCCTCCCATCATACTATATTGGAGTAAGTAATCCCTTCTGACTCTGGTTCTCCTCCCAGTTGGATTTACCAGAGCCTCATTATTGGTGTGCCGGACCATTTTAATTGGCTTCTTTGACACCATGTTGTGGATGTCTGAGTGCCTTGATACATCTCTGAGGATGAGCTCAAGTCAGCCTGCTAAAGGAAACTAATTCCAGGAGCTTTTATTCATGATCTCTTTCATACTGATACTAACTAAAGTTCATGATGATAAGGGAGAACTGGGAAGTAGATCAACTGGTAATTTGTGAATTTGTAGAACTCTTTGCAGTCCGATACAGTGTCCAAATAATGACCAATTTGTCAATGTTTCCCTTTCTGAACAAGGCCCCAATAGATTTGAAATCCTTCACTTTGGGAAAAAACTACAGACCCAGTTGTGGAACAGTAAACATGACTCAAAGACCGAGTTTTATACCCGAAGCAACTTGACAATCAATGCAATCCACCATGCAGTTAAAAACTTAAAAACAGCAAGAATCCTGCAAGTTCATATCTTTCAAAGAGCCAAAACAATGGAAAAACTCTTTGACCTAACTAGAATACTAGAGGGACCCAAGTTACAAGTCTTAAATTGCAATTCAATATGACTTGAACTTGTCTAAATGTTGCCTATTGTATTATAATGTAAAATGCTTTTAGGCTATGGTTAGGGTTACAAAGCTGATATTCCCATCATTGCTGTCTTGTGGTCAAAAAAGTTGAATGCTTTCAGATCTCTCGTGGTGTCATGGTTTTACATTTTCCTTTTTGTGCTTATTGTGGTGAAGTTCTTGCAGCAAAGAACTGGAAAAACACAAGGAGTACAACGGAGAGCTTCAAATTGATGTCAGACACTGGAGATGTATTGGAAGTCACAGCTAGAGAAGTGACAAAGACATTTATACCCCATTCACACCAACGGTGTTTCAGGGCCGGTTCGGAGCTGGAGCTTGAAAAGCACCGGGTTTTCCTGTTCACCCCGCAGCGGAGCAGCCTCTAAGCTCCAGAATCCGGTTCGTTTCGAGCACCAAAAAGTTGTCCGTCTAGAAGCAAGAACCGCATACGTCACGCTTACGTCGGAGGGGGGCGAGATTAACCTGAGATAACAGTTAAGGCAAGTACGGCAAATAAAAGTTGTAACCAGCAGTAGTGCTGAGCAAAGTGACTAGAACGCAACCACACACTTGTAAAAAAAAACACACTTTATAAAGTCAGGCAACACTAACCAGGCTTCGTGTGATTCTGTTTATTTGTACCTTACTTTGACCATCCGTTCGCTGTTATTGATCATTGTGGAGAGCAGGCAGACGTTTTGTTTGTTATTATAGCAGCTATCGGATGGAATCAATACATGGGCTGCACAGGTTGTCATGTCCGACTATCACAAGTAGAATCATAATGAAAAATACGCCGGTAAAAAGTGCCTGTAGAAAACGGCTTAGCAAGTAGTCAGCTTCGGTTGCTATGCTAACATCACCCATGTTATACCAGAGAAACTTTCATAACAGCGTTGTGATGCCAAACAGCGTCAATTCAGACTGACACCAAACAGCGTCAATTCAGACTGACACACATTCACTTAAGGGGAACTGGGGATATGTATCAGCTGCTTGTGTGACAGTCAGACAGTGAATACTTTAGAGCCGTGTGAGCTAACCCGGAGCTAACGGGAGAATACACTCCCGTTGACGAGCAGCCAGCACTGCAGCGGTCGGTAAATGCCGCTGAAACACATTAATAAACAATGAACCACGGCACTCTGGAGAAAAGTATAAGGTTGGAGAAGTCGTTATTTAATTTAATCTGGCTTCGTATGATTAAAAGCAACACGATCATCGACCCAACGCAGTCCCCGGCCCGTTGTTGTTGTGAGGTGAGCTCCGTTGGGGAGAAACTCAGCGACGTAAACTGTGACGTCATGACGCAGCAGCGGCAGCACCAGTCGGGCTCTGAGCGGTGTGAAAAGAGCCGGCGCTAAACCGAAGAACCGGTTCTGAACCAGAAAAGCTCTAGCACGGAGCTAGAAGGGGAAAAGCCTTGGTGTGAAAGGGGTATTACTGAGAACTCTGGCGCTCTCTTCCAATGTCCCTGACACTTAACGAAGAGCATATTCGACATCAAACTATAAGTCCTGTCCCTGGCAGGGTCAAACCTGATGTCCTGTTATTGTCTGAAGAAAAGATAGTTTCATGGACATATCTAAGACACAGCTGGGGCCTGCCTTATCAAACCGGTAGCAACAGTCTTTTTAAGGACGTTTGCCATCCTAGAAGAGAGGAGTGTGTCTGTTTTCATTTCAGACACTGCAACTCCCGTTGTGTTCAAAAAGTTGAATGCTTTCAGATCTCTCGTTGAGTCATGGTTTTAAATTTGCCTTTTTATGCACATTGTGGTGAAGTTTTTGCAGCAAAGAACTGGAAAACAATGGAGTACAATGGAGAGCTTCAAATTGATGCCAGGGTAAAACCTGAAGTCCTGTTATTGTCGGAAGAAAAGATAGTTTCATGGACATATCTAAGACACAGATCAAACCGGGAGAAACAGTTCTCCCAAGGACGATTGCCTTCCTAGGAGAGAGGAAAGTTGTCTGTTTTCTGTTTTCATTTCAGACACTGCACCTGCCTTTTTTGAGTCATTCTTTGAGTCTCAAGAAGTACTTTTAGTGACACTAAATTATCATAACTCAAGGTAATACCTTTTCCAGAAGTTCTAACATGCATCGCACACCCTTTATCAAATGTGTGAAGGCTGCACACCAAGCTGTTCATTTCATTTTGTCAAGCAACTGCTCCCACGGTGAAGAATAGACCCTCAAGCTCAAACTTCATCATTATTCTCCACACACTTTTCTCACAGTGTGAGCTGTATCCTTGCTGTCCCTTGTTGCTCTCTAATAGCAACACAGTCTCATGGCATTTCGAGTTATAGTCACAAAATTAATCTATTGATTCGTGTTCACCAACACGATTTCGCCATTTTTTTCGTGTCACACAACGATTTTAAAAGCAATGTAAATAATAACAAATTAGAAGGAAAAAGACATTAAAAAAAATACAGATTTAAGTATTCTGACACAGAACGATTTTAGAAGCAATGTATTTATATTGGTAGTATGTTTCGTGCCTGCACCAAATAATAACAAATTAGAAGGAAAAAAAGATGACATAAAATGCAGATTTCAGTATTCTGAGGCTCTGAGCCACATTTATTTTCCTCACTGACGGCAAAAAAACTCAGACATTATACAATTTAAAATAAAAGGGATAGGGTTAGGCTTAGGGTAAGATATTGAGTAAGAACATGTTTTTATGAACCACACAGCTTCTGGTCTTCCAAGACCCGACCGGACAAAAAGACGTGTTGCAGGCACGAAACATACTACCAATAGAAATACATTGCATTTAAAATTGTTCTGTGTGACACGAAAAAAATGTGAAAATCGTGTTGGTGAGACTGGGTTGCTAATAGAGTGGTGCAGGGATGACGACCAAAACTCAATGGGATTTTCCATTGGATTTCGGGAATATTGCCGAAAATAAGATCTGTTGCAAACATAAGTTCTGTTAAGATAAGACCATTTTATGAATGTTGAAGTGTAAATGCCGTTAAATGCTAACGTAAGGCTAAAAAGGAACTACAGCACGGTCACATGAGTTCACGTCACCACCGCTAAGCTAAAGGCGGCTAATGTTGGGCTATAAAGGAACTACAGCACGGTCACATGACTTCACGTCACCACCGCTAAGCTAAAGGAGGCTAATGTTGGGCTATAAAGGAACTACAGCACGGTCACATGACTTCACGTCACCACCGCTAAACTAAAGGTGGCTAATGTTGGGCTATAAAGGAACTACAGCACGGTCACATGACTTCACGTCACCACCGCTAAGCTAAAGATGGCTAATGTTGGGCTATAAAGGAACTACAGCACGGTCACATGACTTCACGTCACCACCGCTAAGCTAAAGATGGCTAACGTTGGGCTATAAAGGAACTACAGCACAGTCACATGACTTCACGTCACCACCGCTAAGCTAAAGGAGGCTAATGTTGGGCTATAAAGGAACTACAGCACGGTCAAATGACTTCACATTTGGATATTCACCAGTGGGGTATTTACTGAAGTATTTTATGTCGTATAACAAAATCCTATAATCTCTTTGGCTTGTGTTAACCACAGACTTTATATTAGGAATCTAACAAATAACACATCCGAAAAACCCTTGACTTCCAGACGAGGAAACAGAAGGCGCTAAATGCTGATCCATTCCTCTACTCTATTGTTGCTGCTGAGTTTTTCACAGAGTCTTTTTTAAGAAAACTCCCACTCTATGGTGATCTGCAGTCTGTAATAACGGGGATGTGATCCGAGCTCAGGCTCATAATGAGAACTACTCAGCTGCAAATCCCTGCAGCCGAGTTATCCAATAAAAGGCTTCCTGACATGGGGGATGTTTGTCTTATTATCCTGGAAAAACAAAGCCACATTCACATCTGCGGCCTTAATATAATCAATAAACGTGATGTGTTGACAGAGGCTGTTGAATATAAAGTGTGCCAATCTTCAATGTCATTTAAATTTCCCGTCTCCTATCGCATAATAAAGTAGGAAACAATTTGTGTGAGATGTATGCTCATATATCCATTTGACAAAACCAATGACATTTATTCATACACATGCAGATTCCTTTGATACATGTTTAATCTATCTAATATGATTGAAAGACAGTGTAATGTGCACACACAGCTGATCTTATTCACGTTTATATGCTAATGCTGAGGAGTTTGATTGGCGTCACTCACCCCGTGTCCTCCAGATAAATCCTCGTCATCACCCACGCAAACACGAACACCAGGGGGAATCCTGCAAAAATGGCACGAGGAAATCAACAATATAATGTAGGTAAACAATGATCTATCAGGAGGTAAATTAGTATCTACATAGTGGGCTTGATAGTTTAAATAATAGCCTAAGATATGAAAGAATAACATTTATTTCATTATTTTTTTTATTACTTTGAAATCTGAAGTTTCTTTCGCATTAGGGTCAATATTATTAACATATTTATTCAACATTAAAGGTAGGGTAGGTAAGTTTGAGAAACCAGCTCGAGTGCGCTAGAATTTGAAAATACACAACCGGAGAAAATCTGCCACTTCCTTACAGAGCCCCTCCTCCAACACACACGAACGCGCACATGACCAATGAGGGCACGAGATAAGTTTGTGCCCCGATGGAAGGCTGACAGGCAGGTAGGCCATCCAGTTATTTTAGCCGGGCTGGCTCAGATGATTGGTCGTGCTTTTTACAGTACTACGGCTTCCACAGATGACATTTTTTATGGATTTTTTGTCAAAGCACTTAAGATATTCATTGCTATCGGGATGTTAAGAGCATTCCATGGAATATAACAAAAAGTGTATCTCGAGCCGGTTTCTCAAACTTACCTACCCCACCTTTAAGTCCTATGTATATTACTTCACTAGTTGTGTCAGCTGAGTGAATGATTGATTATATTTCCATTTTCTACCCACTTCAAATCTTCTTTCCTCTGCACTCTTTTGTGTTTCTATATGCACTACATCGACACATGTTATCAAGCTTAAAAGTATTGATTATTGTCTCATTAAGGCCCTGATGAAAATCGAAAATAATAATGATAAAGGGTAAAGAAATGGTCGCGAGGAAATCAAACAACTGAAGACAAGAAGGCATCATCTGCATCCCTTCTGATCATTTTAGTTCACAGATATTTTTGACATGTTTTATCTGTAATCCAGTTTATCCCTTCAATAGTGTTTATAGTCACGGTCTACAGTATATTTTCTACTTTATAATTCTGTTTTAATTCTATTTTGAGATTTTTTAAATTCTAGTTTTGTTTACTTCTACTCTTTTATTTCTACTTATGTGCAATGTTTTGTTTTGTTGTTTTTATGCTGCTGCAACGCAAACATTTCCCAACTTGGGATCAATAAAGTACCTCTTATCTTATCTTATCTAATTAAGCTAAGTGGTGAGTGAAAGGATGCTGTTCTGTTAAATATTTGTTAATCACAGTCTCACATTGCACCCTTTTCTCAGCCTTATGAGAAATTAAGAAAGTCAGGATGCTAAACCTGAGACGAAACAGAATCTGACCCCAGCCGATGAACATGTAGACGATGAAGTGTCTGTTCTCGGAGAAGATGACGACGAGCAGCGTGTGGAGGTACAGCCCCTCCACCAGCAGCCAGAAGAAGTTAGCCATGATGAAGTACTGGAAAAACACCAAGCTGGCTTTACATCCCACCTGAAACACACAAAATATATTAAAGGTCCACTATTATACTGTTTTTCATCAATATATTATAGGTCTCAGATATACACAAAACATGTTTAGCCTTGGTTGCTGATTGGCTAATGGTTACACAAGCCACAAAATCGTTATGACATCATAAAGTGGCCAAAATCTGATCAGATCATTTTCAGACAGGTTTGTATATAAATGGATCAGGACAAAAAGAGAGAGAATCTTTGTTCCTGAAACTTTCAGAGTCTCGGGAGCTTAACGGGAGTATGCATTCAGGTCTGTAACCGCATTGAACAAAAGGAGTAATTTTCTCATATCAGAGGATCCTCACATCCTATTGTTTGCCATTTGACCGCTGGGTCTGTCCACCCACAGAGACTGAGGGGTAATCAGGCATTATGCTAATTGATGTGTGGGTTTACATTACCCTTTAACCCCCACTGGGGCAATTAGTGAGTTCATCAGGAGGATGAGCTGTCATTTGTAGCGTTAACATTATAAAGGTCAGAGCTGCCAGACAGTTCTCCTACACATACTGTAGAGATGTTTTATATATGGAAGCAAATAAAGGCAAGTGGATGAGAATAATAATGGGATAAAAGTCTGCTAATATGCTAAAAGGATCAAACATTTTTCTAATGAAAGTATCCAATTTTTTTTAGTCCTAGATATTTGGATATTGGATATTATTTTATAGACACATTCTGCTGGATTTGAACCACTCACATAGCATCTTATCAATAGGCGCTTTCACACCAAGTACTTTGCCGTACTTAGTTCCCAGTACTTAGTTCATCAGAACTCTTTAGTTCTGATGAACTAAGTACTTAGTTCCCAGTACTTAGTTCATCAGAACTCTTTAGTTCTGATGAACTAAAGAGCCGATCGCGTTCACACCGGAATAAGTCCCCTGAGGGAGGATTAGGCAAATGAAGCCGCTGACGTCACTTCTTCTTCTGCTTTGGCTGTACTGGCAGGCCGCAAACAACTTCACGGCGTATACTGCCACCCGAAGTCCCCGGCCGGAAGTCCCCGGAGTTGGGGAAGGCTTCAGTAGAAGCTGCTGGGACTCCCAGCAGCTTCTACTGAAGCCTTCCGAGTAAATCGCCAGAACGCCGACACCTCCTCATCACTCCACCACTCCCATGTTTTCTTTTGTGTTTCCATAAGTTAGTCTCTCTGCGTTAGTGCCAGGGGCGCCGCCTGGACCTGAAAACATTCGGGGCTTAGCCCACAGTGGCGGCGGCACTACAGTGGCATTTTTTACTGCAACACTCCCCACACGCACACACACAGTACACCCGCGACTGTTACAATGAAGGCTCGATAATCAGCTCACGGCATATAGGCAGGGGTAAAGTGGTATTTTTTATGAGTGGGGGGCTCACCTTCTCTATGGGGGTCCGGGGGGATGCTCCCCCGGGAAGATTTTTTTTTTAAATATTGAAGTTAAATGCATCAATCTGGTGCACTTTGAGAGCAAAATGAAGAGATCTATGGATACCTCTCTCAACACCCATATGAAGCAGAACTGTAAACAGATGTACTTTTTCTTTATGGATATTTTACTAATCACTCCCCTTTTAAACTCTATTCTTGTTTTACTGCCATATAGTATTTCATAACTGTTTTTCCTTTATTCTCTTATTTTTTTTATAACTATAATGATCATATGAAGGTGTGCCGCGGAAATAATCTTTTGAATAATTTGTGACCAAACCGTTTGAGACCCACTGAGATAACTTAGACTAAAGTTATGTATCTAAACACTCAGAGAGTCCTTTAGCTCACCTGAGTCTCTCAGTCTGAGAGGAGAGGACTCTCCTCCAGCTTCTTATGGAACAAACAGCTCCTTATGTCCGTTAGTGCAGCTAGCTAACCAGATGCTAACAACACGGTCCATGCTGGCACCGGTCCCTCCCTCCCCCTCTCTCCCTCTCTCTCTCTCTCTCTATCACACTAAATGCGCTATTGCCACACACACACACAGAGCCGAGCTTGAATGACACAAGCACACGTTTATTTCCATGCAACTCTCTGATTGGTCTGGTGTCATGCCTCTGTTGCATTCACTGAACACGGGAAATTACAGTGCTGCCGTCCTCTCTTGTGTCATGATGAGGTTCACGTAAAGCACGGTTAATGTATTATATTATTGAGGGAGAATTGTCCGGGGCTACAGAAAAAACATTCGGGGCTAAAGCCCCGGATGCCCAGGCCAGGCGACGCCACTGGTTAGTGTGCTGGGATAATGCTAATGCTAATAATGCTAATGCCAGCAAATACAATGGCGGCTTCACAAAACCTTTTCTGAGTTTTACGGGGCGTGGTTTGCAATTCGCCCAGCCAATCAGAAATGGGAACCTTTTTCTCCCATGAAAGTACCTGCTCTCTAGCAGGGACTAAAAAGGGGGTGGAAAGGTTCTCATGAACTAAGTTCTAGTTCCGGATTTTTTTGGTGTGAACGCAACATTTCAAGAACTATCGGAACTATACTGGGAAAAGTACTCCGGTGTGAAAGCGCCTATTGTAACTGCTGTGAGTTCGATGAAACCAGCCTGAGTGGCCATTTGATGGATTGTTGGAGGTGTATTCAATTAATGAATTTAAGAAGTTGTGCATGTTTGGTTGAATGCAAAGTGTTTTTTCGGATCTTTTGCAGAAATGAAACAGTATTCCAATTCTGCAAAGCAAGATATAAAAAAACATATTTCATATAGAAAATGTTCCTTTCTTCCCCGCTGCATATTGAAATACAAGTCATCAAACCTCAATTCAATTCTGATATTAGTCAACTATGTTAAATAGACTGCATTTATATAGCGTTTTTCAAACATTTGTAACCCCTCAAAGTGCTTATACAAGTCAGCATACGCATACGCACACGCACACGCACACGCACACACACACACACACACACACACACACACACACACACACACACACACACACACACACACACACACACACACACACACACACACACACACACACACACACACACACACAAAATCGAGCGCAATTAGGGGTTAAGTGTCTTGTAAGGACACATCGACAATGCCACTGTAACCAGTTGTTCTAACGTTTGGGTTAGGTAAGATTTTGCTATGAGACGCGTGTAAATAATAACAGTTATGTTAAAATATCATGTCTCATTTCTATAAATCCGTGTTTGTTAGCATCGCTCTGACACTGTTTGTGCCTCACCAGCAGAGGAAGTAGTGGAGTACAAATACTTCGTTACTGTACTTAAGTACATTTTTCTGGTATCAGTACTTTACTCCACTACTTATTTCTTTGACGACTTTTTACTTTCTACTTCTTACATTTTGAACCCAAATACCTGTACTTTCTACTTCTTACATGTTGAACACAAATACCTGTACTTTCTACTTCTCACATTTCCCAAACAGGCTGGTTCCTTTAGTCTGAATGTGTGTTTGGTGGTGTGATCATTATTATTTAGAGTTATTGCGTGCCTATTGATTTGAACACGATCCGTGTATCCATCATTTCCTGGTCTTCTCTAAAGAAGAGGGACCAATGAAAACGTTGTCATGTTGCCGTTGTTCAGCATGGAAACATTAATTAGCTAACAATGACATTATTGTTCTATTAATATAAAGGGAGGTCAGGTACTCTTTAAAACAGCTGCTAGTTATGGGTACTTTTTACTGAAGTACATTTCAAAGCCCTCTTTACTTTTACTTGAGTAAAGAAGTATAGAGTATTTTGAAACACGAGTATCTGTACTTCTACTTGAGTAAAGGATGTGTGTACTTGTACCCTCTCTGTTTGAAGGCTGTCCTGGCTTTCATCTGATTGTGAAAGCACAGAATGATCCGGAGGGCTGAGGGTGTCTTTGATCTCGAAGATGAGGCGCCTCTCAGATGGTTTTTGTTGTTGATTAATGTACACAGCACTGCTGGAGGTGAGATCTTAATGTCCATCACCTAGTTTCCATCTAGCATCACTTCAGTCACATGCTTTTATCACATGGCAATACTTATGTTGTTGTATAATGTTTTTATAATTTGTATGCTATGACGTTTGTATTTTGTTTTTGTCTTTGCTTGTGTTTGCTTTGTACAGCCCTTTGAGGCATTTCTTGTGATTTGGGGCTATAATACATTTTGATTTGATTTTTGTGTAGAGACTGAACATAAAAACAATCAGCATCGAGACTTTCCTGTATTATGTTGAATTATTACCAGAAATACAATCATCTTTTCTTGCGATAAATCAAAAATGTGGTCAGTGGGGTTTTTAAATAACACATTTGTTGGATTTAACAGCAAATTCTTACAAGCCAAGTTTCGGTCATTTTTTGTTTAGTTTCTTTACAGCAACAACCTAACTGTGTACAAGTAGATATGTGTATAGACTCTCATGGCACTACTTCTATTCTATTTTATTTGTATTTACTTGCACTATTTTATCTGTTTTATTGTGTTGCTCTGTTGGAGGAGCCTATGACCTAAGATTTTCACACTGTACGAATGACAATAAAAGCCTTACATCTTGAATCTTGAAATAAGTTTGATGGAATAAATCCGATTAGCATGGATCTGATCATCTTTCAATTCCATTATAAAGTAAGTAAGAGTAAGATGTGTGTACTTCTACCTGAGTAAAGTATGTGTGTACTTCTACTTTAGTAAAGGCTGTGTGTTCTTCTACCTGAGTAAAGGATGTGTGTTCTTCTACCTGAGTAAAGGATGTGTGTTCTTCTACTCGAGTAAAGGATGTGTGTGCTCTCCTCTCACCAGTGACGGCTGGCTGGAGCACTGAGAGTTTCTGTTGAAGAGGATGTCGTCCTTCACCAACACGGCCACAGCTCTCAGGATGAAGGAGAGGAAGAGGTTGAGGTGGATGTAGTTCCTGGTGCAGTGGAGCTTCCTGCACAGAAACACAGATCCTTTACTGTTTGTTGGGAAAATAGTGAATGTCCTCTTCCAATATCAGAGTCCACATGCTAACAAAGGTATCCCAACTGTAGCTGTGTACATGACAGGATGTATGATTACCTAGAAGAGCATCAGGACTGTTTTAGGCATATGATAGCTATGTGATTAACATGATGATTCAGCCTCTATGGAGATAGACATATGACAAGCATGATCATTTCTGACGTGGAGCTAATCTGAAGTAAACATTGAATACTGCTTTCTATTCCTCCATCTTGTGACTGTGTAACTCCCTCTCTTGGATATCAGCATGTGAAGGACACTGTTCAGGAACTAGTTGATGCTCTGTATGTGATGACTACTTCCATTCTGGAGAGGATAATAAATACAAGGATCCTGAGATTGAAGCTCTAGCCGGTGACCAGTGATATTTTTCGAACACTATTGGACTTAAATTCTCCAGTACACATAAGAGAGCTGAATTTGTACAAGTACACAAGTATAAGAATCAATGTACTTAAAGCACTAAAGTACTCAGTATGCAAAATATCTCTTTACACGGTATTATTTAAATGTCATTGTCATTATATTGCCCTGTTTTTATCACTCACAAACACATATAAGAACATTTTAATGTGGTAGTTTGTAGATACAGTTTAGATCAGTGGTGTCAAACTCAAGGCCCGGGGGCCAAATCCGGCCCGCGACTTCATTTTATGTGGCCCCGCAAGAGCTTGCAAAGAATATAATACGTTTATTATACGGTTACATGCCACTTTACAGAAGCAGGTTGCCCATAAACTACATGTCCCACAATGCATCTCGTTTTGTGACATGCGCACTGAAGAGACTTGCAATTATTTGCCCTGGACTTCTGCTTTCAGACGTAGTTAATTACTAAGTTATTATCCTATCCGATAATAATCCAATCCAGAGGCAATAATGTCATATAATACATTATTTTATATATATATTATATATTTATATAGTTACAACCGGTCCTTTGAGTGCAACCTTAATGCTAATGTGGCCTGAGATGAAATTGAGTTTGACCCCCCTGGTTTAGATGCTTCGTAAAATACGGCGTCATTTCATATATCATATGTTTGTGTAACTATTACCATTACTTTAAATGAGCTTTCGTTCAGGGATTAATTGTTAACAACTAGTATATGGGTTTAGATTAAGGCTTTATATGTAGAAAGTAGATGCGGAATTACACACATCTAGTCTGAAAATGTATCACTGCTAATTTGGACTTTGTAAGTATTGAAATAAACGAGCTCTCAATATATTTTGGACATGTCTCTCGATTATAAAGTACTTTTACAGATATCTGATTCATGCATGTTTGCTTCATTATAATCAAAAGGCTTCACTGCAGCGGCTGATTAAAACTAACAGCAAAGCAAAAGTAAAGAGAAGCTCCATCAACATAATTTAAATTAACAAACTGAAAACAACTAAATCCAATTAAGCTGTAAACGGAGAGGCCATCACACACACAAACACACTGTTGACAATTAGTGATGAATCTGCGAAATGAAGACGTGGACAATTTGCATCGTTGTTAATTTAAAATCCAATTAAACTGACGGCTTTTCTTCAGACATATAAAGAAAGAGAGTCCTAAAAGATGAGCTTTAAATTAAAAACAGCCTCTCTTCTTTAGTAATTAATCTCAGTTCAGTTGTGTATCTTTACTTCTGCTGTTTTGCATTTTTTTAATGTCGGGATCAATGAGGTTTATTTCTTGTAATATAATTTGTAACATGTTATTGTTTTGCTATGAAATTAAGCAATGAAAAGTACTATAATGACATTATGAGGAGGAATCATATCTCCTTCTATATTTCACTGTCTTCCAATTAGCTTAAATCAAACTTTAAAGAAGTTAGCGTTTTTATATTATATTATAATGCCCCTTAATTTATTTTCGATCTATTATTTTTCCATTTTATTCGGGATTTTGTGTTTATTATTATTATTATTATTATTATTATTATTATTATTATTATTATTATTATTATTATTATTATTATTTATAAATAACTAATTATCATCATTGTTATTATTATTATTATTCCTCGTTTCAAGACTTTTACATAATTGATCTATTCCGTTATTATTTTCACATTTTAATCGGACTGTTTATGTATTATTATTATTAATTGTATTATTGTTATTATTATTATTATTGTTTCAAGACTTTTACATCATTTTCCTCACATAAAAACAATAAGGCATGTTCTTTTGTAGTTTGCACGAAAGTCTTGGACCAAACAAAGTCAATAAATAAAATGAAAAAAAAAGAATACAGAAAATGTGTTAATATTACCGGAACAGACAGAGAATGGCGCTCCCGGTGGTCAGAGCGATTAATGACAGGCTGTGACCCAGGGTGTACAACGTCTTCACGACCACGTAAAACACCAGCTGCTGAGAGAGAAAGAGAAACAAAGAGAGGTTAGTATCGATTATATCACAGCTTGGTTAAATACACGATTCTGATTAGTCAATCTGGACATTCAGCAGTCTGTTATTTCTCAATAGCAGACTACTGCTCTGAATGAGGGACTATTTGCAGTCATATCAATCCGCCGAAAGGAATCCCGTCATTGTAACTTTATGGTATATGTGGAATGAATGACTGGCATGCGCACATTATCCCTGGATATGTGGATGTGAAACCCTGTCTCATAAAATCAACTTTAAATATAATATAGTTTCTGGTCATTTGTAATCAAACATCTTGTCTGAGGGCTGAGGAAGCACTTTCTAATGAGCCCTGATTAGATTCAGTAACTTGCAACCCAAAATAACAGCAGATTGAATGAAGTTATATTCCCCATGCTTGCTGCTTGTGTAGTGAACTTAGTTTTAAACGAACTGTGAATACTTCAAAGTGAATAATTTAACATTTAACTCTTGATGTATGATTTTATGTCAGAGTTTCAGTTTATTAACAAAACACATTTGCATTTCTGTTGATCTTCTCATGTGCAATAATATTTTAAGAAAATGTTAAACGGTTCTGTCTGCTGCTTCTGGATACATTTCACCCTCTTTTTAAAGGTCAGATAACACCACAAAAACAAAAAGGGACATTTAACCCATTCAAATCCTACAACAAAAAGGGACATTTACATTTTCATCAGTTGATCTTCCTTACAGTTTTAATTTAAGGTGACCTTATCAACGCCAGTCCAAAAGTTTTGTAATTTCTCTTTCTCTTGTCTGAATTAAAAAACCTATGATATCACGTTTGCAAAAAATAAATGCAAGTGTTTTTCCTTTGTCCTGCAAGAAACATCAGCTGAAGGTGAACCCCTTTGAACAGAGTAGGATATATTAGAATAAAATACTGCAGGTTATGTTGCAAGACCAGTGTGCAAGTAGTGCAGATTAAGTTAACTATATACATGTCAGAAAAATTATGCAGAGAATGTTGAAAGTGAACAGTGAATTGAATTGTCAATAAACGTTGACTGTTATGCATTATATTTATCGATAAAACCCATATAAAACCAACCAATTAACTCAACTTCAAAATGTTTTTCAGACTTAAAGAATGTGGATGACCTGCAACTTAACAATGTTAAAACCAAGACAAAACTGAAGTAATCCTCCAGCACAACAGTAAGGAATATTTTATCGTTATCTTTGGCATTATCTTTGATCAGGAAATGTTTTTAACTACCAATGCAACCAATTTCTTCCGTAACATCTCAGAAATCAGGCACATACTGACGAAACATGTTGTAGGAAAGCTAGTCCATGCCTTTGTTACTTTGAGACTGGATAATGCAAATTCCTTATTATCAGGCTGTACTAAAATGCTGCAGCATGGCTACCTTAAAATGCAGAATACAAGCCCTTAATGGTCAGGCACCGGAAGTAGTCAATGGGTTGCGGTCGAATTGTCAGTTTAGCTTAGGAAGGTTCCTAATGGATTGAAATGACCCAGAAGTATCAAATTAACAGCCATGATAAGAGCTGTTAGAATTCTCCAAATGTTAGGCAAAGGAGCTTCAGTTCTTCCTGTATAACCTCCTTTAGCTTAGGAAAGTTCCTAATGGATTAAAATGACCCAGAAGTAACAAAGTAACAGCCATGATAAGAGCTGTTCGAATTCTCCAAATGATAGGAAAAGGAACTTCATGGGTGTGAGACGGCGACTCTTAAAGTCCTAAATGATATCATCAATTCCCTTGACTCCAGACAATACTGTGCTGCCATTTTCATCGATCTTGCCAAAGCCTTCGACACTGCTTCTGGGAAAGCTTAGATGCATTGGTGTCACTAACCAATCGTGTAAAATCTGACAATCTGATGACACAGCCCTTATCCATCTCTAAGGGAGTACCACAAGGCTCTATCCTAGCACCCATCCTATTCTCAATATATATAAATGACATGGAGAAATCAGTGGGCAACACCTCTATCCACCTATATGCCGATGACACGATTCTGTACACTGCTGGCCCTTCCCCAGATACTGTCCTGAAAACTCTTCAGGATAGTTTTCAGAGAATCCAGTCACATCTCTCTGCCCTTGGCCTGGTCCTGAACACCACTAAAACCAAGATCATGTGGCTTGGCCGCAGTGGTGCCTCCCAAACTGGCACTATTGTGACCGTTGATGGCCGGGACCTCGAAATAGTTAAATCTTATAAATACCTTGAGAACATCGCTCCAAAATTCAGACCAAGGTTAAAGCTAGACTCAGCTTTCTATATAGGAATCGCTCCTCATTCACTTCATCTGCTAAACTCTCTCTGGTCCAGATGACTGTCCTTCCTCTGTTCGACTACGGTGATACCATCTACCGCTCGGCGTGTAAAGGAGCTCTCGATCATTTAGACGTTCTGTATTACTCCGCCATCCGCTTCACCACCAATGCCCCCTACAGGACACATCACTGTGACCTGTACTCTCTGGCTAACTGGCCCTCTCTTGAGACCAGGCGCAACATCCACTGGCTGATGCTTGTTTATAAAACACTCCTAGGCCTCACCCCCTTCTACCTCACACAATTACTGCAACTCCGCCCACCAACACCCGGTCAGCTACAAACATCCTGCTAAAGATCCCCAAAGCCCATACATCCTTTGGCCGCTCCGCCTTTCAGTTTGCAGCAGCTGATAGCTGGAATATCATGCAAAAAACCTTGAAGATGGAGACCTTTATATCCCCCGCACCTTCAGGGACACTTTTACAAACACCCTGGTACACACATGCAGCTGCTTTGCCTGATGCTCACTACCAATGTCTTGACCTCTCCTATAGTATGCATTGCCATGATGGAATGAATGGATGAATGAATGAATGAATGAATGATTGATTGAATGGATGAATGTTCTATATTATTTTAATGACTGATTGAACCACAGCAGTATTGTTTTAGAGATCTTATATGTTTAACTGATATGCCTGTCATCTCTGCTCTGTGTCATTGTGTTGTCTCCTGGGTTCTGTAGTGCCCGGAGTCTGTCTTTTTATTTTCTTCCTCCCAACCCCCATCCCCTCAGGAAGCCTTTTGCCTCCTGTCAGGTCATCATTGAAAATAAGAATTTGTTCTTAATTGATTTTCCTGGCTAAATAAAGGTTCTACTACTACAATACTTCCTTTATCACCCCCTTTAGCTTAGGAAACACTGGACCTTCATTTAAGAAAGGAAAGGAGAAAATGCTGTCCCAGAATACCTTGCGGCCGCAACAATGGTTTACTTTTTGTACCTCCATGGCAGAGTTTGTAATTGTTCCTAGAGTCTCTAAAAGTACGATGGGAGCCAAAGCATTTTGCTATCAAGCTCCTTTTCTGTGGAACCAGTTTCTAGCTTGAGTTCAGGAGGAACCATCCCATCATTTTTTATTTAGTAGGCTTCAGACTTTCCTTTTAAATAAAGCTTATAGTTAGGGCTACCTTGAACCAGCCCCTAGTTATGCTAATATATATATTTCAACATGTATATTTTCGACTTTTTTAACGCTATTTAATTTCTATTTGAGATGTTTACATTTCCATCCATCCATCTTCTCCCGCTTATCCGTGGTCGGGTCACGGAGGTTGCAGTTCCAGCAGAGAGCCCCAAACTTTCCTTTCCCTGGCCACATCAACCAGCTCTGACTGGGGGATCCCAAGGCGCTCCCAGGCCAGCGAAGAGATATAATCCCTCCACCTGGTCCTAGGTCTACCCCTCGGTCTCTTCCCAGCTGGACGTGCCTGGAACACCTCCCTAGGGGGTAAAGCGACTGCAGTACCGCTCCCGCTGCTCCGATTCTCCGGCCCATCTCACGCTCCATTGTTTACATTTTTAATTGTTTATTTTGAGTCTTTTAATTTCTCTAATGTACAATGACTTGTTTTTTTAGGCTGCTGCAACGCAAACAATTCCCAAATTGGGATCAATAAAGTACTTCTTATCTCATCTTGATCTTATCTTATATGCTTAGAGTGTCGGGGAGTTTTTATGAGAGAGAGCTGTTTAGACAGAAACAGATGAAGAAGAGAAAGAGAATGAACAGAGAGGGTGAGACAGTTTAACGAGAACAATGAGGGATTCATTATAAACCCAGAAGTGACCCGATCTGAACCTGAGTGGTGAGAAAGGAGCAGCAATTATCACGTCCTGGCAAAACAAGGACAAGCGTTCTTCTCACCGAAATCTGTGTTCTGCAAAACGCTTAACAAAAAACATGTCAGCTGAGAGAATGCCAACTTAACCTTCATGTCACATTATATGAAATATGCATCAGGCTTTGCTCCTTAATGATACTTAATTATTAATTCAATAAGGAAAGGTGTTTGCTGTGAGGAGAGAGGTCACCGTGGTCATTAGCTAAGAAAAAACATGTCTGAAAAGGACAAAAGGGATGTATAAACATTGGTTGTTTTTCGCATAATAAAACTCATCTGTTACAGAAGGTAGCTTTGTCTGATTGTAGTTCCGTCTTATCTAAAAAATGTATACATCCACAAGTAGCAATAAGCTTGACTCCAACAAAAATACGTCTCAGGAAAGTTTGGTTGACTCTTTACTTAAACAAAAGATATCAGTACAAACACATATTTTCAAAGGTCAAAAAACGATATTGCTCCGTGATTCTTTTCACTTTCTAAGTCTAATTACCAGCAGCTATGACGTACATTTTACGACGTTTAAATCAATGATATAATAATACTAATAACAAAGAATTACAATGTTCAGATATATCTATATACACACATAATATATCAAATTATACATTTTAACATATGGCTCCTACACTGATGTTTGTTAAACAGTAATGGAAAGTAAAAACCTTTAGGCCCCGGCTCCACGAGGACAAATACGGCAAAACGCATCGGAGTAACGCAAATGCAACCCCAAAAAACCTTCCGTCCCCACGCAATATACACCGGATTGTGTCAAGCTCCACGAGACGGCTCCGTTTACATCCAAACGCTGGAAAAGCTGCAGTACATATGCCGAACCTGTACGTGACGCTGTAACTTCCTCCACAAAAGCAGCAACTTCCTCCACAAAAGCAGCGAAGAAGAATGGTTGTCATGGCTGCACTTCTGTGTATTCTCCGCGGTGGGGGCCGACAGAACCGGGCAGAGTTTTTCGCCGGTCAGCGTGTGTTAAAGTTTAAATCTTCCGGACAAAATTATAAAAGTGCCGGTCAAAGGTCTTCATTGTTATTTATTGAGCTTTAAAACAAATGAATAACGACGATATAATGATATATAATCATCAAATACATCTATTTTTCCTCTCTTCTGACAGCGTCAGTGTCTGTCTCATGCAGCAGCTGATCCTGTAATGAGTGACCCGACAGTAAAAATGAACATATTTATAACTAGTTTAGGTAGTTTGAGAGGTAATTAAAATAGCTAAGGGTGATGATCTGACTTGAAGTGTGTGTTTTGCTCCCGCTGCATCACAGCGGCAGGAGCTGCGTGTCTCCGTCCTGTCAGATTAGACTTCACTCGCGTTTATGTCCATATCGAGATAAAGATAAATAATCTGAATTCAAGGAGGAGCTCCTGTAGATGTTGCACAAAGAACTGTAGCATGGTCAGTAGCGACTGGAGCACGATAGCAACCCTGCGGGGGAGAGGCGGGGCTATGAAAACGAATGACCGTATAGGCGACTCCACGGCCCCGTTGGACCCCCCAGAGCGCTCCGTTCCCAGATCTATCCACCTTTGGACCCGTTGTCGTTTGCGGGGTCTGTTTCTACGTTTCCCTTACGGCGTCGTCGAGCTTAGAGGGCTATACGCATGAGAAATATGCGGATTCAACCCGTTTTCGTCCCCGTGGAGCCGGGGTCTTAGTATCATTGACAAACTTGTCACTGCTGCTGTGCATATTGACTGTTCAGAGAAGCACACTGTGTTAATTAACAGCCTTCCCTGCAGGCTTCATCAATTACACGCCACTAATCCTCTGTGTTATGTTGCAGCTTCTTTTCCTGCTGCTGTTCATTAGCATTCAGAATCAATCAAAATCAGTTGAGTACAAGCACCTCAAATGCACTAAAGTATAGTACTTGAGTAAATGTACTTTTCAAGACTGGTGATGAAGTTTATCCAACCTTGCCAAGTGAAGAAATGGTAACTTTTTATTTTATTTTCATGACGTTCAAACCATGGATGTATTAAGAGAAAATGAAGCCAAAATGGGAACTGTAGATTTAAAAAGTACCCGGATCATGTTGAGATTTGAATTTTTTCCATAAGGCTCGCCTCCAATCTACCGCTCTCTGCTTCCATTTCACTACCACGACAATTTGCTTGAACTTGCTTTAAAGGTCACCTATTATGCAAAATCCACTTCTTCATGTCTCTTCTACATCAACATGTGTCCCCTCTTCTTCATGTCTCTTCTTCATCAACATGTGTCCCCTCTGTGTAAAGAGACTCTGAAAGTTTCAGGAACAAAGATTGTCTCTCTTTTTGTCCTGATCCATTTATAAAAAAACCTGTCTGAAAATGAGCTGATCAGATTTTGGCCACTTTGTGATGTCATAACGATTTTTTTGGCTTGTGTAACCATTAGCCAATCACCAACCAAGGTAACCCCCCCACCTTATCACCTGAATCTCCTCCTAGAGCACCATTGTGTTCTTTTTAACCAAATATCTCTCAGAGGGGCGTGGGGAGGGGCTCCTTATTTTCATCTAAAGTAACAGACAGAGAATCAGCACTTTGGAAACAGGGCTGAAACAGAGGGGATTATGGGATGCTGCAATGATCTGTTTGGTGTTTCAGCCAATCAGAGACAGGTTCTGTATATATCTGAGACCTGAGAAAAACAGTATAATAGGGGACCTTTAAATCTTGTCCTACTTCCTTTGAACAGAAATGACCTTTTCTTATAACCTACAATTGCCCCAATATGGAACTGAAAGAGAATTGATGAGTTCCTTTCTGATGTACCTTGTCCTGGCTGGTGTCCGACCCACAAACACTGGAGATGTTCGGGAACACCTCTGACCATCCTGCAGACGTGCAGTTCCTGCTGATGTTACCTGTGAGAGACAGAAAGACAATTATCATTAAAAAGCTTATGTGACTCTTTCTTAATATTGGAAAAAGTTAATGAAGACCATGTTATGTTATCAAAAGCTGAAGGACCTGATGATTGCCGTTATTTCATTTTGTCCAGAAACAGAAAGAAAGGGCGTAGAATGGCAACAAGTCCTGGCCAACAAAATGGGATTTAAAGAGGTTTAAAAAATAATCAATGCCTCCTATTTTTGGAATCGCAATTGCTATATGAGACGAAATCGCCCTAGTTGACAGTATATCTGACAGGAAGATTTTGTCCTATGTTTGACACTTGCACGACTGTCTGATAACGAAATTAAGCAAGGATTACGTTTTTTTTATCTAATGAAATCTTTGTACAATAACACCCCTCAGATATTTAGTTTTCTGAGTTAGACGTGTATAAAGTACTACAGTTTCATAGTAACTAAGGTCACTTCTTGGTAAAGTGAAGCTCAGTTTCACATCAGTGCCCCTTCCTGAGGGACTTCTCCTGGGCGTCCCAATAGCAAACTGCAGTGCACTGAAAGTTCATCGCTCTTGGAAATTCCCAGAATGCATTGAAAAAAAGCACGGAGCATTTGTTGCCCACTGAGTGTAAATAATGATGACACACTTCCTTCTGCCTCAGTTCACTCCCAACAAACCCTCTGCACAGCGGGGTAAACACAGCTGAAGCTCAGATTGCTTGTTTATTGGCTGGTTTACATGTGTGAAGTGAATGTAATACTGTTGTTTAAAGAGTGGTGCAGTGATGACATGTTTTTTATAGAAAGATAGCAATGAAAAGGGGTCCCTCAACGAAAAGTCATGGGATTTCTCCATTGGATTTTGGTAAATTGAAGACAATACGATTTTTGGCAAACCAACGTTTATTATACTTTTTTGTTTAGCAGGATAATCTCTACACATTAACACCACTTTATGATTTATAAGTATAAGTAATAAGTAAAAAGCTAATGTTGGGCTTTAAAGGAACTACAGCACGGTCACATGACTTCACGTCACCACCGCTAAGCTAAAGGCGGCTAATGTTGGGCTATAAAGGAACTATGTCACTGCAGTCAGGGCGGTGGTGGCGAAGTCCATAGGGACTTGGCTTGGCAACTGGAAGGTGACCAGTTCATGTCCTGGAAAGACCAAGTGCTACCGAGGTGTCCCTGAGCAAGGCACTGTTCCCTACACTGCTCCCCGGGTGCCGTACATAATGGCACTGCTCTTAACACTAGGATGGGTCAAATGCAGAGAAACCGTTTTGTTACATAGTACCTGTACTACGTAATGACAATAAGTTGAATCTTTAATCTTCTTCAACTACAGCATGGTCCCATGACTTCACGTCGCCACCGCTAAGCTAAAGGCGGCTAATGTTGGGCTATAAAGGAACTACAGCACGGTCACATGACTTCACGTCACCACCGCTAAGCTAAAGGTGGCTAACGTTGGGCTATAATGGAACTACAGCACGGTCACATGACTTCACGTCACCACCGCTAAGCTAAAGGTGGCTAATGTTGGGCTATAAAGGAACTACAGCACGGTCACATTACTTCACGTCACCACCGCTAAGCTAAAGGTGGCTAATGTTGGGCTATAAAGGAACTACAGCACGGTCACATGACTTCACGTCACCACCGCTAAGCTAAAGGTGGCTAATGTTGGGCTATAAAGGAACTACAGCACGGTCACATTACTTCACGTCACCACCGCTAAGCTAAAGGTGGCTAATGTTGGGCTATAAAGGAACTACAGCACGGTCACATGACTTCACGTCACCACCGCTAAGCTAAAGGTGGCTAATGTTGGGCTATAAAGGAACTACAGCACGGTCACATGACTTCACGTCACCACCGCTAAGCTAAAGGTGGCTAATGTTGGGCTATCAAGGAACTACAGCATGGTCGCATGACTTCACGTCACCACCGCTAAGCTAAAGGCCGCTAATGTTGGGCTATAAAGGAACTACAACACAGTCACATGACTTCACGTCACCACCGCTAAGCTAAAGGCCGCTAATGTTGGGCTATAAAGGAACTACAACACAGTCACATGACTTCACGTCACCACCACCAAGGAGGAATTTAGAAGTCTTTTTTAAAGCTGCACATTTGTATTTTGCTGTAAGAAGGTTCAAGGAAAGCTACTGAATAGAGCAGCATTGTAAAGCCATAAATTGTGGAAGAAAGAAAAGTGTTGTTACGAAGCCTGATGTGACTAAAAGCAGTAGTAGTAGAAAGCTTTTTTAATTTGGGTCAAAAGACGTCACCCTAGTTGGTGAATACATCCAACATTTACCCAGAATACATTCAACCAGTTAAATATTTTATGCTGTGACCAAAACATTTTCTCCAGCTCCCAAAGATTTTTATGCTCAAAAATAGATGAACCCTCTGAGTCCTATTTTTCTTTTTGGTTTTTATCTTCAGAGGGCAGTAGAACCAGATATATTTTTCAAGTAGTTCATCTTTGGAACAGATTATTTGACCAGAAGAGTTTCCCGCCTTAGAAATCAAGAGACATTTAACTTCAAAACCAATCATTTCCAAAATAACCTTTTCTGTACACCACCCATCTACAGGAAGAAACCATGCATTATTAATACGAGGTAAAAACGAAATAATCAGAACATATTTTCTTTGGTTTTAGTTAACGTTGTTGTTAATGTGGAGAGAGATTGCCCAGTTAGAGGCAACTTTAAAATGTACTTATCAAGAAAACAAACAAAGCTTATTTTGTGCTAGATGGTGTTTTTCTCTATTTAATTAGCTTTTCTCAGCACTTTCAAACAAAACAAAGACGCTAAATAACAGATTCATGCAGATGCTACATGTTTATCTTACATAACAAGTCTTTACTACATTTTCTGTGCAATGCAGTAACTTTAGGGGGGTTTTGGATCACAGACAGTGAAGCATCAGAGGGAGGAACGAGCCGCCGGCTGCTTACATAACGTTTAGTCATCAATGTAAATCAGATAGAGAACTCTGTAAATCAACGAGGCCATCTGGTCAGTGGCTGGAAAGAAATGTGATGCATTCACAATTTCACACAGACTGCTATAAGGGGAATAACGTGAGGTGCTTACAAAGACAGACAGTGTTAATATTAAACCTAAATATCGACTCGCTGTAACACCACAATACTCGTTGGAAAAAATTGATTTATGGTCTCAATCTCTAGTTTTACCTTTTAATATAAAACATGATCGACCTGTCTGAATTTACTCTTGTAGTCTTTGTATGAAATGTACCCTTAGTTATTTATACTGTAAATGTTCTACTTTTATGAGATGTTTAAATTCTAGTATTGTTTTTATCTCTTTAATTTCTACTTATGTGCAATGCCTTGTTTTGTTTTGTTGTTTTTATGCTGCTGCAACGCAAACATTTCCCAATTTGGGATCAATAAAGTACCTCTTATCTTATCTTATCTTATCTTATCTTATATGTGTTTGGACTTTGCTTTTGTCTACCCCTGTTTTAAAAAGCAACATAAAAAACAAATAGATAAATGCAAAGGCCATAATAAGTGAATGAAATTAATAATATCTTACCATTTCTCCCAAATACAGTCTTGAGGACTCGAGGACAGGGGATGGTGAAGGTCTGTCCGACCTCAGTTCTCTCCCAGCATGCAATGCTGTCCCACGCTCCTTTGCATCCTGGGCCTGTCAGAAAAAGAAGGGTTTTAAAGGTCTCCTATTATAATGTTTTTCATCAATATATTATAGGTCTCAGATATAAACAAAACATGTCTCTGAAGTGTTTGGCTCCAAACACCAAACAGATCATGGCAGCATCCCATAATCCCCTCTGTTTTCAGCCCTGTTTCAAAAGTGCTGATTCTCTGTCTGTTACTTTAGATGAAAATAAGGAGCCCCTCCCCACGCCCCTCTGAGAGAGATTTGGTTAACAAGAACACAATGGTGCTCTAGGAGGAGATTCAGGTGATAAGGGGGGGGGGGGGGGGGGTTACCTTGGTTGGTGATTGGCTAATGGTTACACAAGACAAAACATCGTTATGGCATCATAAAGTGGCCAAAATCTGATCAGCTCATTTTCAGACAGGTTTTTATATAAATGGATCAGGACAAAAAGAGAGAGAATCTTTGTTCCTGAAACTTTCAGAGTCTCTTTCCACAGAGGGGACACATGTTGATGTAGAAGAGACATGAAGAAGAGGGGACACATGTTGATGTAGAAGAGACATGAAGAAGAGGGGACACATGTTGATGTAGAAGAGACATGGAGAAGAGGGGACACGTGTTGATGTAGAAGAGACATGAGGAAGAGGGGACACATGTTGATGTAGAAGAGACATGAAGAAGAGGGGACACATGTTGATGTAGAAGAGACATGAAGAAGAGGGGACACATGTTGATGTAGAAGAGACATGAAGAAGAGGGGACACATGTTGATGTAGAAGAGACATGAAGAAGAGGGGACACATGTTGATGTAGAAGAGACATGAAGAAGAGGGGACACATGTTGATGTAGAAGAGACATGAAGAAGAGGGGACACATGTTGATGTAGAAGAGACATGAAGAAGAGGGGACACATGTTGATGTAGAAGAGACATGAAGAAGAGGGGACACATGTTGATGTAGAAGAGACATGAAGAAGAGGGGACACATGTTGATGTAGAAGAGACATGAAGAAGAGGGGACACATGTTGATGTAGAAGAGACATGAAGAAGAGGGGACACATGTTGATGTAGAAGAGACATGAAGAAGAGGGACACCATGTTGATGTAGAAGGGACATGAAGAAGAGGGGACACATGTTGATGTAGAAGAGACATGAAGAAGAGGGGACACATGTTGATGTAGAAGAGACATGAAGAAGAGGGGACACATGTTGATGTAGAAGAGACATGAAGAAGAGGGGACACATGTTGATGTAGAAGAGACATGAAGAAGAGGGGACACATGTTGATGTAGAAGAGACATGAAGAAGAGGGGACACATGTTGATGTAGAAGAGACATGAAGAAGAGGGGACACATGTTGATGTAGAAGAGACATGAAGAAGAGGGGACACATGTTGATGTAGAAGAGACGTGAAGAAGAGGGGACACATGTTGATGTAGAAGAGACATGAAGAAGAGGGGACACATGTTGATGTAGAAGAGACATGAAGAAGAGGGGACACATGTTGATGTAGAAGAGACGTGAAGAAGAGGATTTTGCATAATAGGTGTACATTTTCCCACAGAAACTTATATTTTAGAGACTGTACTCTTCAGAAATGCATTTATTCTACATTTTAAATACATTTTTATTTTCTTGTGTTTTGTATTGTTTTTATATCATTTTTTTTTACATCAGTCTGGTTTTATTGTCTCGTGCTTTTACATTTGTTTTTTGTCCTATCGGTTTTGTCGAAATGTATTTATGCTGCTTTTTATATAGTTATTGATGTACAGCACTTTGGTCGACTCTGTTGTTTTTAAATGTGCTATATAAATAAAGTTGGATTGGATTGCATAAATGCCAGCAGGGTGCAACTCCACTGGTTTCAAAAATATGTCAGATTGTATAGAAGTCAATGAGAACATTAACATTCGTAAGCAGTGTTAATATGAGTTGATGGTCTCTATCCATGGTTCAAGTCTTCTGTGATACAGCACAATGTTAATTTATTACATTATGATGCCATTTAGAGTAAAATACACAGTAAGGAATCGTAACACGCAAGGTCGACTCCACTGGTTGCAAAAAGAGTCCGATTGTATAGAAGTCTATGAGAAAATCACCATGATTCTCGTTAGATTTATTTCCTCATTTTGAGTTTTCCTAATTAGTTTAATGTCTAATTGCAAGTTTAGAAAATAGAAAAGTCAGATTGCATAGAAGTCTATGAGAAAATGACAATTTCTCTCACTTGATTCATTACCTAAGCAAACATTTCCCTGTTGAGTTTATGGTCACAATCTAGTTTAAAAAATAAATAATCCATGATGTTCAATCTGTAAATTATGGCAAAATAGTAAAAATAGATCATAAAGCAGTGTTTGTTTTTGGACAAAACCCACACATTATATTGGTTGGCGATTACTTATCAATGTGTGTACTGTGAATGCAATTTATTTGTTATCAGAAATCATAACTTGTGAAGGTGTTTGGACATATTTCGAAACTAAAAGAAGGCTGACCTATAATTGCAAGTGTTCAGTACATATATTAAGGAAATTAATATACATTTAATCTAGGATTATAGGGTTGGGTGTGTGTTTAGAAACCTCACAATATTACATCACAAATCCAGATGCTAACCACATCTGTTCATACCCAAAGAATGTATTATTATTCAGCTGCATCCTCATAAGAGACCAGAACAAAACTGCATAATAAAACGTTTGGAAACACAAACAGCTTTTTTGCAACAATTACATTTGGCACAGAAAACCAGCACCTGGAAGATCTCCTATTTAAAACAATTACACTCCTCATTAGGCATTTTGAATTTGCACAAAAGACAAGCATAGGCAGAGGGTTTAGACACTATCATAGGAGGGAGCACGCATGAATGAATGCAAAACTCTGCAGAAACAAAACACACAAACTGTCGCCCAAAATAGCTCCTCCAGCTCTTCAGAATGAACACTAATGGGTGCAAAGCGCTGATGGCTAAATGAATAGTCAACAGGGCTTTTTAGCGATAGATGAATGGAGACAGTGTGCCTGGTAACATGTAACACTCATCTCTGAAGAAAAAGAGCCGGACGGAGGCATCACACTGTGAAGGAGAACATATTAATGCTATAAAAAGAAACCAGAAAGCAGCGTGATTAAATACAAATGATGTATTTGAGGTTACAAACCCTACTCCATATCATGATCTTATAGCCTAGAGCGAATTGTAAAAATAAAGGATTTTCTATTTTGTTGTATGTTGATGAGAAACTGCTGATAAATGCATGCCATGTTGCAGTATTAAATAAAAATGCTGAAACATTACAAAGGTATATTTATGAATCTTCCAGGTCTATTTATCGGCCTCACAATACATAGCTATCTTGTCAAATATGCAAATCATCCAAATATGGGTAACACTTTATTTTAAGGTACACAAATTAACTATCAACTAGTTGTTAATGAACATGCATATTAGCAGTATATTGGCTCTTTATTAGTCATTATAAAACACTTATTAATGCCTTATTCTACATGACCATATTCTACAAGTAATAAGCCATTAGTTGAGAGTTTTTCCTCAATAACCCTCTAATTAGTGCTGATTTGTTGCAAGTAAGGAAGTTGTTGTACATGAGTTTTAGTCTTAATATGCTCATTATGGGCCGAATAAGGCAGTAGTAAAATGAAGTTATTTAGACACAATTAACACTTATAGTTTAATTTCTTGTTACATAAGAATAGATCATATTTGTTAAATGTTATTATGGGAGAATTACTATTCTTGTGGTACTACTGCCTTATTCTATGTTTCGCTGTCTCTACCTGTAAGTACTTAAGACATTTTAAGGTGTACTTTGTTGTTCAAATTAAATGTATTGTTATTATTATTCTTCCTCCAAAAGACAACAAACTGCATACATCAGATTGACGTATTGAGTTTCCTCTTTAAAACCTCTTTTCGGTTGCCTCGTGCTCTTTTTGAACACCTTCATCATTTTAACCGTTTGAAACACATTTAGTTAAATATTCATCATATTTTGCTCCGTTTTCATTCAATTTATTTACAGATTTGTTTTATTTTTTATTTGTTTGTTGACGTCTCAATTACCGTTTCTAGTCAACTTCAGCAAAGGTACGGCCAAAATTGAAGGAAGGGAAACCAAACAACAAGACGTTCATTTGAATAGGCCTTTTTATTTAAAGCGAATGCAATATGTAGTTTCAGAACCTCATGAAACCTAAATCAAGTGGCTCTGAGGCACAGATATTTTGTTTTACACAGGCTTTTCAACGTTAAACATAAAATAAGTTTCCCTCAAACCAAATTGGAAATACTGTTTAGTTGAATTGGAACAAACATTGTTGGTAGTCTGAATTGTGAGAGTTAACACTAGAACCGCCAACGGTACATTTTACCCGCAGCTGTTTCTTGATTGTATGTCACTTTTTTTCAATAAAATATTCAAGTCTCCCAGTCTGTGACTTTTCCTGAAAGTGTGTTATGTAGCACCCTCTGTTGTTAAAAATTGTCAATATGAAGTCAGATGGAAAAAATTGCCAAAATAATTGCCATTTATACCAATCAGCGCCAGCGGGTAATATTTACCTTATAGAAAATGCAGTGATTCTCGCACTATTGATCTCGCGCGTAAACATAAACATGACGTGTTGCTATAGCAACGCCTGTTGTTTACTGCAGTTCCTTATAGATAGATAGATATAGATAGATAGATAGATAGATAGATAGATAGATAGATAGATAGATAGATAGATAGATCAAAACTCACTGTTAACCCTGTGTTCTAGTATATGATAAATAAAAGAACATTGTACCTTGAAAATCAATGCATTCTAATAGCGGGTACATTTGACCCGTTGCCGGTTTTAGGTATACAGCGACCCCTGGCGGTTCTAGTGTTAAGGAAACAAGATGATTATTTCCATCAGCTCTCTGGTTGGAATTGCCCTTTTCTTTAAAGTGCTCGTTTATTGTGTTTCTATTGAAGGGATTCAATCGTATCCTGCCTCTCAGTAAATGGCCTAAACACTGAGTAGATGAGAGGAAGGATAGAGGTTTGAAAAGAAAGAGTCAAAGTGCAAAAGAGGACAAAACAGAGAGATAGGGAACAGATGTCTTCTGGGTAAAAAGGCAGATCTGAAGTCATCAGTGCATGAAGAGAAAAGCCCATCTCCTTAAAAACACATCAGAGCCGACCAGATGCACAGCAGCACGTCTGCAGGGAAATCCTACTCCTTAAGGTTTTTATTATTTACTACAAAGAGAAGCTGAGCACTGCAGCCTTTTCCAGCCTCGCCTACTTCCATCTCAAGCAGAGAGTTCAAAACAACGACTCCTTTTTGCTGCATGACAGTATTTGATCTTTTTTAAACGCCAAGTCTTTGGATGAATTACATTTAGCTGACTTACAATAAGTGCATTTAACCCCGAAACTCAAAAAGCAAGAATCCTGCAGGTACTTTTCCTATTGATAAGGACAATACAAATGTTATTAATCATAGGATGCTGGTGGTTTCCAACACAGCTGGCTTGTTCAGTTTCATTAAGCAGTTAAGTCAAGTATAGCACATATGATCAAAAAGTGCTTTATGAGCATGAAAATGTAATTAATTAAAGTATGCACGTGTAGCGTTGTGGTTTCCAACAACACAGCTGGCTTGTTCTGTTTCATTAAGCAATCAAGGGAAGTATAGCACAATCAAAAAGTGCTTTATGAGCATGGACAGGGTTCAATATTGGGAAGCCAGTGAGGGATTATTAACTAGATGCAGACAACCCAATCAAATCCTACAACAAAAAAAGAGAAAATTACTAAAACAGCAACTCGCCGACCAGCAACAAGCCAGTGATTATAAAAAAGAAACATGTAATCATCATGCCTTCGCGTGCTATCCAAAAATGGCGGGGAAACTAGTAGATTAAAGGTTGTTTTAAAACTCTGTGTTAAAATACAAACAAGCCTTTACTGTAAATGAGATCCACAGATAAGAACTCGATTCAGAAATACCCGATCGAAAGTCGTAAATGTTAGAAAGGTATTTATAAATGCTTTTCATTAACTTGTTTATCTTTTGAATGTGTTGACAGATTAGTTTTTTTATTTGTTTATATATTTGCAGGAGGTGTTTTACATGTACACACAGATTGTCGATCTTTTCACACAAATAATATTGAGAAAAATGTACCTCCATAAGGAAAGGCAAGGGAGAGCGGGCGGGGTTTTTAAATTGGTTGCAATCCTCATTATCACCACTAGATGTCACTAAATCCCACAGAACGCTCCTTTAAAACAGCTTCATATTTCACACATTAAAGGTGCCCTATTATACTGTTTTTCATCAATATATTATAGGTCTCAGATATATACAAAACCTGTCTCTGATTGGCTCCAAACACCAGACAGATCATTGCAGCATCCCATAATCCCCTCTGTTTCAGCCCTGTTTCAAAAGTGCTGATTCTCTGTCTGTTACTTTAGATCAGTGGTCACCAACCAGTCGATCGATCGCGAGTGTGGTGCGGGTAGATCGCGCACCGTTAAAAAATACATGTTGATGTAGAAGAGACATGAATAAGTGGATTTTGTATAATAGGTGACCTTTAAGAAATAAACCTGAGCAACTGTGAGGTTGTTAGTTTGATTCCCACTGGAGCTGAGCCAGCTGCTGTACATTTTGTTTTCACCGTGTCCTCAAAGCATCTACAGGATAATTGAAACAACTCTGTTAGGAAAACTGCTCTCCAATGCACTTCTTCACCCGCTGAGAATTGAGCAATGTTATTATTTTTGCTCTAATTCCTGTCATTGAGCTTTAATTAACACAGCGGGGGCTCATTAACACCAGAAACACTCGATTCAGCGGCGCTTAAGGGACGTTTTAGGCTTCAGACACAAATATCTCACCGATTAAAAAACAATAACGGATAGAATTTGTATTTTAAGGAAATATCTCTTCAGAAATAAGACATCTACTTTGTTTTAAACAGGTAGAGACTCAGGTATGACATTATTACATGTGCATTTCTAGATGTAGGAATGGTTTGCTTAAATAATTTAGTTCTGACTTAATTGCTTCGTATAGTAAGTAGTGATTTCATTCAGTCATAGTTTTGCCACTTCAGTGCAAAAAGCGGGTCATATCCAAAATGAACCTCTCCTAGTGAGAAAGCAGCGGTACAACTTTGATATGTTGCTGTGAAAACTGTGTCCTTTTTATTATATTATTATAATGACATTAGGAGTCAAGGCATCAGGTGTCATCAATCATCCTTTCCTTAGTGCCATCTTTTGAAATCAATGTCAGTAAAATAAGATTTGGAGCATCAGCTGTTCGTTGCTTTTTGATACCGCCACATTTTATGATCTCTGTCGGTGAGAAAAGCGTTTATGACAACTTATAGCCCCATATTTACTCCTAATTTAATTCACAAAGGCTACGGATGTGATGAAGGCTAACGGATATCCAGCTGTGTCCTCGCAGCTCTTCCTGTAGACCTCCAACAGGAGCAAGTTAAATTAAGGCTGTGTTATTAATTTATGCTGAAACATCTTTTTTAAAAAGTGCTTGTGTTTGTAGAGAAGTTAGTAAAGTGATGAATCTAGTTTTATATAATCTCCTGAAACTCTTTTTTCATAAGAACCAGCTTGTTTCCTTCTATTTGCTTGCTTGCTAACATAATATTTATAATTTATAAAGGTCAGTGTTGCTTTTTAACGAGACACCAGTGTATTCTTGAAACATGAAAATCCATGTTATGATTTCTTTCTTTGATACTTAACTGTAAATGCCCCTATTTTCCATCCATGTTAAATTAGGATACAATTTGGATTATTTGTACATTTGGACTAAATTGCATTTGTGGTAACGTTTAAATATAGACCTAGAAGATGCATGTAACATAATGATGTAATGTCTCCCAGACTACATTGGAACAACATTCAAATCTATGTTATTTTATATAACCGTGGAGGCGTGTGGCGCAGTGGACTAGTGCGTTGGTGTTCGGATCAGGGGAGCACAGGTTCAAACCCCACTGCAGTCAGCATGTCGTTGTGTCCCTGAGACACTTCACCCCAAATTGCTCCTGTGGGGATTGCCCACAGTATTGAGTATGTAAGTCGCTTTGGATAAAAGCGTCTAACAAGTGACATGTAATGTAATGTAATAATTTTAAAGATGAGAACCATCTACTTCATCAGCTGACATGATTAATCCTGAGGGAACATCCACTGAGACTTCTGTGCATATACTGTTACATTTATAGTTCAATTATGTTGACTTTAATAATAATAATAAACAATAATACATACTCAAAGCGCTTAACTTTGCAATAGTTCATTGCTTCTCAACTTTAAAGGTCACTATTGTGCAAAATCCAATTGTTCATGTCTTGTATACATAAATATGTGGACTAAAAACATTTCTATCATATGGCGCATGTATAAATACATGTTCTTTAAGCATAACAGAAGTCTTTAATGATTGAAAAGCTATTGGGCACGAGTCCTGGAGAAACTAAAGAAGTTTCTCTGACTGTGAACATTTCTCTAAGGTCAAAATGGACCTAACATGTGGTTTAATGTATTGAATTTTAGAGAACAAGAGATGGTGACCTTTGTGTTTCCCGGCAGCCTCCTCCTCCCTCAGCCTCCTCTCACATTCGGCCTCGTCTCGCTCCACCTCCAGCAGGAAGTTACAGGTGGGATGTCGTCCATCAAC